TTGCAGATTTGCAGGCAGGCTGCATTTTAGAACAGGTTCAACCTTAATGTTTCAATTTGTTAAATAATTATGAGTGAGTTTTGTAATGTTTTCTTGTAATTAATGCTTATGCTGCAACATTAAAAAACATTATGTTGTATAAGTGCTGAAAATGCTCGTTGCGCTCTAGAATGTGTGTATGTGCCATAGCAGCCCACTTTGAAACATTACCTCTGCTTTTTGACACAAAACTAGTTTTTTGTCATCATCACCTTGTCTCTATTTGATATGTTTTTTTTTTTTTTGCAAATGAACCGGGGGTGTGGGTGGGGGTGGGGCTATGGGTTGCAAATGAACATAGACACTATACTTGCTTTTTCAGAATACATAAATTGCCTATTTAGGAAGACATTATTGCCTAATGAATGACACTTAAATTGTCTAAGAAAATACAATCCACTACAGCATTACCAGCAGCAACCTGCTCATCACCAATAGAGACTCCAGGAACATCCCCTAACACTTTTTAGGTACTTCTTTTCAGTTGCTACATCTTGCTAATACACATGTATTTTAAACAGTTCAATGCACTGTTTTGTTACACATATATTTCTTTATAGGAATAGTTGTCTGTTTGTTTGTGTTGGGCTTCATCAATTGAGATTAGTGGTATGCCCCTGGGCTTTATCAATTGAACAAGATCATTCCTCTGCAGTCTGTGTTGCCTTCCAACTGTTCGGAATGGTTAATCAGTGTCCTCTGCGCCTCCTCCTTGCCAGATGTTGGGCAAAGCTAAGGCGGGCGGAGCCACGTTCCGGGTGGAGCTGCAGCTGCAAGCGGCGGGGTGATCTCCACCAGCGAGCATCAACATCCATGGTCAAGCGAAAAGGCGGATGACAGCACACGAAGGTGAGCAATCCGGTGTCACCTATTTTTCCTAGCAGCCCCATGTTAGCACCTTCGCATTTTCTTAGGCAATTTAAGTGTCATTTGTTAGGCAACAATGTGCACCAGGATAGGTAATTTAGCCTTTTCTTACTAGTCAAAAAGGCCATCCGACTAGGACCACTAATCGTAGTCGCGATTAGTTGGACGACTTGATAATAGTGACAATGAGACAGAGAAGCCCATATACAACTATGAACTTGTTAATATTGGTGTTCTAATCCAGTCTAACAAGTTAGTAGTTTTTCTCCTCTAACTAATGTTACCTTTCTACATAGAGCCAGATTCGTTTATATGCACTGAGTTCTATAATGGCTTAATTAATAGTACTTTTTTTTGGTTCCTGGTGCAACGTCTTTTGATCTTTACATGTGTTTTTTTTGTCTCCAAAACTGACTTTTCTCATCATTACATGTGTTTTCTCTTTGCTTGTACTACAGTTATCTGATTATAGCCTTTTTTGTCACTCCAGTGCAGGTCATGTGTAGGAAGCAAATATCAAGTATTTAGCAGGGAAGCTTATGTGACTGCAGTATTTTTTCCTGTGCTATTCTAATTTGCCCCACTTTCTGATTGTGCAATTCGAAGATGTGTGATGTACTGATGTGATGTTCTTTGTGCAGACTTGCCTGATGATGCCTAATGTACTGAATGATACCTAACGTGCTGAATGATACCTAATGTGCTGTTCTGATGCATAGGTTTTCACGACAAAATGTAATTTTTTTGCCAGGGGATAATGAATGATGCGGCAGCTGGAGATATTTGTGCAATAGCATAACATGAACTATAAGGAATTGTAGATTAGGTTGACCGTTGACACTTTTGTACAAAAAGTATATTAGCCTGTTTGGTTGGCTGGTTTGTTTCGTTGCTGGTTCGTGAAGAAGTACTGCTGGTTGGTTTGTGTGAGAGAAAAATACTGTTCTGGCTAGAAATTTACGATCGTTTACGATAAGCCACAGCCAAACGAACAGGCTGTATATTTTGAGATCCTTAAGCATTGTTACGCAATTTCTTTTGCTTCCCTTTTCAATATGTGTGTGTGCATTACCAATGAACTTGGCTTGTTAGCGTAACAGTGTTCAGGGCCCAGCAACTTAATTCAATTTTTTATTAAGCGGGAGGGCGTAGGAAGTTTCAGCAGACGAGATGGCACACACAGTGCGGGGAAACTGTGAGGGGGCAGCTGGCTAGCGTTGAGTGGAAGCAACTTTTACCGTAAAAGGAAAAAACTAATTCGGTGGGAATTTTATTTCCTAAAATGGACTGTGCGTGCGGGGAACCAACAGCATGGCTGGCCGTGCATTAGCCGCTTCCAATAAATTAAATTAATAGAAACTTTAAATGAATTTATTACGAAAATATATTCTAGAATTAATCTAATGATACTATTTCTTAAACATCACAAATATTAGTATTTTTATATATTCAATTCAATTTGGGATTTTTTCCACCACATAAGCGGAGGGCGTACAGAGACACCTCTTCTCTCCTGTGTGGGGATTTTTTACATATGAGCTCGGCAGTTCAGTATTCAGAGTTCAGCCTGGTTCATTTGATCACTTTTACCACCTCAATTTCACTTGCTGCTGCTAGTTGATCACAAATCCAACCCTGCCATTAAGCATCGTTACTTGTTTGGCATTCACTTTCAACTTACAAATCTTCAGCTCAGCTTTCAAAGAAAAAAAAATCTTCAGTTCGCATGTTAAATTAGAGAGGGGTGATCAGATCGGTGTCACCAAAGCATCTTCTTATAGATGCAGCATTAGCTGATACCCAGCATGGTACTGCACACAGAAACATAAGGTTCTAGTAACTTATAAGCACTGACAGCAACATTTGAAAGCATCAATATGGACACTGTTAGACCCTTCGGCTGTTGCTGCTATTGCTAGCACGGTCATTTCCCCTGTTCCTCTTTCCACTGAAGCTGCATCTACCACTGCTGCTGTAGACTACCATGCTGTGGCGGAGGCGAAGTCACAGGCACAGGCTGCTGCCCTGCAGGCTGTCGTCTGCCAAAGACCAAGGAAAAATCTGAATAAACAGTGGAAATGATTGACACTGCCACAGCTCAAATGGCTGCTCTTAAGATTTAAGATGAGGAAACAAAAAAATGTGATGAAAGATAACGATCTCATGTCACCACACTATTGGACCATGGAAAAATTCATAAAACAACTTCCTTCTTCAACAGAGATGATCTTTTCATTGAATACACAGACCGTGTCTGTTTTCAGATTTAAGAGATGTAAATAATAAACAAAATTACATGCATTTTATGATTTTAACACAGAGACAAGATTTTTCACAAGCGTGCCACACTTTTATATTTCTCGGTCACTACTTTTATCGTGCACATACTGAATAGAGGAGGTTATGGGCACACTAATGAAGCCATTTCTTCTCTGTAAGATAATGTATGAACAAGAGACCACCATTTGCTTCATCATCAACAGGTTTACAAGACAAACAATGGAATCCAGATGTAGTTGGTGCTGGACTCTAATTAGTTCATCAATGGAATGCATCCGAATGCTAGCCCTGGCATGTTCGCGAAAAAAAGGAATGCATCCTATATGAGTTTTCTAGAAGAATACTTAGAATAGATCAGAATACTTACACATATACTAGATGGCCATCGGGTAGAACCATTGGGATCATTGTTAACTTGGTGGAGCAGCAGCAGCAGAAAACAACATTGCCTGCACAAGTGCAAGAGTGTCCTGTCCCAAAACAAGATATACAAGAGTAAGAACTATACCATCCTCCTGTACTGGGCCAATGCGAGCTATGTTTTTCAGTGTGGTTTTTGTATTTTGCTCTCTTTTTTTCATATTCTTAAAATAATTGCGTCAACTCTACTTCTTATTTCAAACACACACACACATTTGGGCCGGTTTGAAACATAAGATGTCAAATGTCATCTACCGGTGAAGCATGACCAGGAAGCACACCATAAACATCTGTGTTACTGTAAGCGTTTGCCAGTCATTTGCAAGTAATTATAAGATCCTGCCAGTTCCTATCCAAGTGGGCCAGTGGGGTATAAGTAGGGAGCAAAGGGCCTCCTTTTTAGCGGTAGGTAACTTTACAGTATTATCAGCAGGTGGTTTTGCATGTGAACAATCCAGAAGCTCACCTGTTGGAGAAAAAAAGGTAGGACCTCCTGCATATGTGAAGAAAAATTGACTGGCTACAGAAAGATGTCAGAGAACGAAGGAAACTCGTCATCAGGATCTTGGACATGGACTGTCCCTTAAAGTAAACAAAACAGCACCCATCTTCATGACCACATTTTGCAGGAGAAAGAACGACTTCTGGAATTTGGCACTCAGACAGCCTTTTCAGCTGTTCTTAACAGTCTTGGGCAGTTTTTTGACATATAGAGATTTAACACGAAGACAAAAATGCACATCCATACACTTATACACAATATCATGAAAGAAGAAACATAAAAGGTACCATTCTGTCATATGATGCTAAAAAAAACCTGCGCAATAGATGCAGATTCACCACCATTCTTTGGATCTGCCTAACTGACAGTAGGAGCATTTATATCTATTTTGAATTCTGGAGTAGACATCTTCTGCTTTGCATATTCTACGCATGCCTGCTTGTAGTATTCGATAAAGCCATAACCCTTATTGTCATCTGAAATTGGTGCCATTCAGATTAAACCAACTGTAATGATGCACACTAAAGGTGGTGAACAATCTACTATTTTATCCATTCTACCTTCTAGAGACTTTTTTTTAAACTCCTGAAATGATAGTGTACCAACTTCTTCCACTGTATTTTTTCCTGTTACAAACAATCACCCAGTGTTCAAAATGATAGTGTTTGATTACAAGAACCCGGAGGGTAGGGTTCCTTCACATTTGCAATAATAGTGTCTCCTCAAACCTCATGCTGAAGTGCACTAACAAGAGAACATTTCTCTAGAAGAATACCACAGAGCATGGCCAAGAAAGTTAGAGCACAAGACAGAATAGTCACTCCAACAAATTTACATGTCACATAAAGATGATTAGCACAGTTGAAAACTGAACTCATTTTTTCTTCAACACTCATTTGCTGGCATCACTGAAGAAATGATACTTTTCAGGCAGGGACTTTGCATAGTGCTGATATTCCTCCCTCGAAAAAATTGATATAAGCATGGAAGTAGTGGAAGCCTCAAGTGAGAAGTTCTTCTCATCAAGCTTGGAGAGGTAAGCCCCAGCCCTGCTTATGTCACCTCTACGCAACAACCTCCTAGCTAGAGCATTTAACATTCGTGAGTATGGAGCAGTACCACTCTTTTCCATTGCTGAAAACAGACCATCAAACTCCTCTAGCGACCCTTCTTCTATGAGATTTTCAGCTATTAAGCGGTGGGTCACAACATCCGGAACCAAACCATTAGCAGGGATAGCAGCAAACAAATGCATGGCATCTTCCTTTCTGCCGCCTTTGAACAAAGCATCAATCATGATGTTGAAAGTAATAATGTCAAGTTCAAGATCCTTAGAACACACGCTCCGAAACATTTTGAATGCTTCATCAACACAATTGTTTTTGCAAAGCCCATTTAGAATTATGCTGTATGTGCGAATGGACCACTGTTTTCCACTTTTAATCATATTGAGGTACAATTCCTTTGCTTCATAAAATCTTCTAGTCCGAAACAAACCATGCAGTATAGTATTGTAAGTCACAACTCCAGGCATAACTCCCTTCCTCAACATTTCTCGGAAAAGACAATATGCATTGTCTATCCTGCCAACTTTACAATAGCCATTAAGCAATGTATCATAAGAAAAAATGTCAGGTTTCAAGCCAACTGAGGCCATACTATCAAGTAGCTGTGACGCTTCATCAATTCTATTGGCTAAACAGTGGCCATCTATTAATGTGTTGTATGAGATAACATCAGGCTTGACACCCATGCATACCATCGAGTCAGTGAGCCTCCGGGCTTCCATAACCCGTCCTTCTCTGCATAAGTTACACAATATTGTGTTGAAGAAAATGATGTTAGGGCGAATTCCTTGATTCAACATTTTGAGAAATAATTCCTCAACCTTCTCCCATTTGTCAACAGTGCAAAGTCCATAAACAAGGGAGGTAAAAACTACAATGCTAGGAGTCACTCCTTCATTGATCATCTGATTGAATTGGAGCAAAGCATCATCCACTCTTCCCAACTTGCAAAGTGCATCTATTAATGTTGCATAACTGACGACATCTGGATTCAAACCTTGCTGCTTCATTTTGATAAATATATGCATCACCTCATCTATCATTGCCCTTTTAGCATATGCAGAGATCACAGTGTTAAAGATGTAATGATTAGGTGAAATACCATTTGCTACCATCAAACTCAGGAGATCATGCATTTCAGAAAGAGCTCCTTTGTTACCATATCCATGAAGCATAATGGCATAGATAGTAACATTAGGTTTTATGCCCTTCCTAATCATAGAATCAAAAAAATTTCGAGCTTCACTGCAATTTCCATTCTTGCATAGATAGTCCAGAAGCAAACCATAAGTAAAATCATTTGGCTCAATACCACGTGCAGACATTTCTTTAAACCTCCGAACCACCTCTTCCCATTGTCCTGTAAAAAGATGTCCACGGATCAGACAAGTGTACGTCCTAATGTTTGGCTTGACACCTTTATCGATCATCTGCTAAAGGACAACCTCGGCCCTATCAACCGCTTGAGTTTTGCATAGGCCGTCAATGATTGTATTGTATGTCACAATATTCGGTGAAATACCTGCATTTCAAGGAATAGGCTGTAAGTTTTTATCCACCTGACCATCAACCATCAGCCATCATGACAGTGTTGTATATGACACCACATCTGGTGAGCAGATACTACCTTGACCATCAGCCATCATGTGGAGCAGCTCAAGTGCCTCCTCCACTCTCTTTTCATCGCAGAAACCCTTGAGGAGTGTGTTATATGAAACTACACCAGGCGCGCATCCAACTTCCGGCATTCGTCGGAGCAATAGGTCCATGGCCTCACCCACCCTCCTGGCGTCACAGAGGCCCTTGAGCAGTTGATTGATGACTATGTCATTCACCCTCCAGCCCGTCTTAAGGATGAGGCCAAAGGCGGCAAAGCCATGCTCTAGGCGGCCCATGCGGCAGATGCAGCCAATGAGGATGCTGTAGGTGCACCTGTCGGGAGCCACCTTATCAGAGCATTCACGGACCATCCGGTTGAAGAGGGAGACGACGAGCTCTGACTCTGAGGTGGAGGAGGAGCGCCGGTCCGAGGCACGAGACACGTCGTTGAGGAGCTGGTTGAAGGAGGTAACCGACGCGGGCCTGGCGTGGGAAAGCAATTCATCAAACAGCTTGAGCGTGTCATCGAGGCAGAGGCTTCCCGAGTGGGTGCGGTCGGCAATGACGAGCTCCAGCTCCATGCACCGGTCGTAGGCGGCGCCCACGCGGCGGCGCATGCTGACAGGGCGTGGCTGACGGGGCTAGTGGCCTGGCGAGGAGAGGCACGGGGCGGGCGGCTGGCGCTGCGTCCACCTTGTTGGCCCAGCTCACAAGAACACAAGCTCTAGCACTCACGTAATATTTTGCGCTCAGAAGAAGAAGCTCATGGACACAAGAACTAGAGACAGAATTTTTTTTGGCACTGCACACCAGCGCACCAACACAGGAATTTTTCTTCTCACTTCACAGCCCACTCACATAGACTGCACGACCCAGTCATCCCCTACATTCAGATTCAGGCCACTACTCGTCTACTCCTCCCATGCAGATGCAGAGCACTACTAGCAATTTGACTCGGTCAGGCTGATCCACTCTTCACGCACAAGCCCACGGCTCCGGTTCACTTGGCCGCACCTCCAACTCCAAGCCGCCTGGTCCATGTCCATCTGGCTTCCTGCATGCAATGCAAGCACCTACATGCAGATCACCGACGCCAATCTCTAGAAGCACGCACTTCGTGCCTTATCCACTCTCTAACGTAGGCAAGGCACAAGCTAACTAGTATTCTGACCTCTACAGACTCAAAGAAATAAAACTCAAAAAACAAGATTAACTCTAACACACCTCCGGATCTGAAGCGAGCAGAGCACTCACGGGATATATAAACATACAATGTGTTATACTTCTTGAATGCTCTGCTCTCGATGAAGTCAGTAATAAATGGATTATAAGCCTCCCGCATGTTTGGCCCAGATACTGTATGTCTCCGTGGCTTATAAGCCTTCCATAGGAGTGTGTTCTACGTTGTTATCCCTGTTCATCATCTGCAAAGAGAAAAATGTTTGTTAGGAAATTATTTTCATCCAAGTGTGTTCTCTTTGTAGCAGATGAACTCTGTGTTCATCGACCAACTCCGATGCTGCACCGGCAGCCATGGGCAGGAGACGTGGCTTGGGAGATGCGCAAACTGCTCCCGCCAGTTCAGACTCCAAGTTCAGTATTCAGAGTAGAGATATTGACAGTTCAGTATTTAGAGTTCAGCCTTGTTCATTTGATCACTTTTGCCATCTCCACTTCACTTGCTGCTGTTAGTTGACCACAAATTCAACACTGCCATTAATCACCGTTACTTGCTTGACATTCACTTTCAGTTTACAAATCTTCAGTTCACCTTTCAATGAAAAAATCTTCAGTTTGCATGCTAAATTAGAGGAGGGTGATAAGGTCGGTGTTACTAAAGCATCTTGTTGTAGACCCAGCATGGTGATGCACACAGAAATATAAGGTTCTATTAACTTCTAAGCACCGACATTGTTAGTTCCTTCGGCTGTTGTTGCTATTGCTACCACGGTCATCTCCCCTCTTTCGCTTTTCACCGAAGCTGCATCTACCTCCGCCGCTATTATGCTGTGGCGGAGGGGAAGTCACAGGCACACTGCTCCCATCAGTTCACACTTAAATTCAGTATTCAGAGTTGGATACTTACAGTTCAGTATTCAGAGTTCAGCCTTGTTCATTTGATCACTTTTGCCATCTCCACTTCACTTGCTGCTGCTAGTTGATCACAAATGCAACCCTGCCATTAATCATCGTTACCTGCTTGGCATTCACTTTCAATTTATAAATCTTCAGTTCAGCTTTCAAAGGAAAAAAAAAATCTTCAGTTCGCATGTTAAGTTAGAGAAGGGTGATCAGATCGGTGTTACTAAAGCATTTTGCTATAGACCCAGCATGGTGATGCACACAGAAATATAAGGTTCAATTAACTTCTAAGCACCGACATTTTTAGACCCTTCGGCTGTTGTTGCTATTGCTACCACGATCATCTCCCCTCTTCCGCTTTCCACCGAAGCTGCATCTACCACCGCCGCTAGTATGACGACTACCATGCAGTGGCGGAGGCGAAGTCACAGGCATAGGCTGCTGCCCTGCAGGCTGTGGTCTGCCAAAGACCAAGGAAAAACAAGAACAAAAAATGGAATTAACACTGCAACAGCTCAAAGGGCTACTCTTAAGATTGAAGATGAAGAAACAACAACAACAACAACAACAAAGCCTTTAAGTCCCAAACAAGTTGGGATAGGCTAGAGTTGAAACCCAGCAGAAGCAATCAAGGTTCAGGCACGTGAATAACTGTTTTCCAAGCACTCCTATCTAAGACTAAGTCTTTAGGTATATTCCATCCTTTTAAGGCTCCTTTTACTGCCTCTACCCAAGTCAACTTCGGTCTTACTCTGCCTCTCTTCACGTTACTATCATGGCTTAGGATTCCACTACGCACCGGTGCCTCTGGAGGTCTCCGTTGGACATGTCCAAACCATCTCAACTGTTGTTGGACAAGCTTTTCTTCAATTGGTGCTACCCCTAATCTATCACGTATATCATCGTTACGAACTCGATCACTTCTTGTATGACCGCAAATCCAACGCAACATACGCATTTCCGCGACACTTATCTGTTGAACATGTCTTTTCGTAGGCCAACATTCTGTACCATACAACATAGCAGGTCTAATCACCGTCCTATAAAACTTGTCTTTTAGCTTTTGTGGTACCCTTTTGTCACATAGGACACCAGATGCTTGGCGTCACTTCATCCACCCTGCTCTGATTCTATGGCTAACATCTTCATCAATATCCCCGTCTCTCTATAGCATTGATCATAAATATCAAAATATATCCTTCCTAGGCACTACTTGACCTTCCAAACTAACATCTTCCTCCTCCCGAGTAGTAGTGCCGAAGTCACATCTCATATACTCAGTTTTAGTTCTACTGAGTCTAAAACCTTTGGACTCCAAAGTCTCTCGCCATAACTCTAGTTTCTGATTCACTCATGCCCGGCTTTCATCAACTAGCACTACATCATCCGCAAAAAGCATACACCAAGGGATGTCCCCTTGTATGTCCCTTGTGACCTCATCCATCACCAAGGCAAACAGAAAAGGGCTCAAAGTTGACCCTTGATGTAGTCATATCCTAATCGGGAAGTCATCCGAGTCTCCATCACTTTTCGAACACTACTCACAACATTGTTGTACATGTTCTTAATGAGCCCGACGTACTTCGTTGGGACTTTATGTTTGTCCAAAGCCCACCACATAACATTCATTTATATTTTATCATAAGCCTTCTCCAAGTCAATAAAAACCATGTATAGGTCCTTCTTCTTCTCCCTATACCGCTCCATAACTTGTCTTATTAAGAAAATGACTTCCATGGTTGACCTTTCGGGCATGAAACCAATTTGGTTCATAGAGACCCACGGTATTGCTCAAGATGAAGAAACAAAAAAAATGTGATGAAGGATAACGATCTCATGTCACCACACTATTGGACCATAGAAAATTTCATAAAACAACTTCCTTCATCAGCAAAGATAATCTTTTCGTTGAAAATACATAGGACTGTGTCTGATTTCAGATTTAAGAAACGTAAAATACTAAATAAAATCACATGGATTTTATGATTTTAACACAGAGAAGACTTTTCACAGGTGTGCCACACTTTTACATTTCTCGGTTACTACTTTTATCATGCACGTACTGAATAGAGGATGTTATGGGTACACTAATGAAGCCATTTCTTCTCTATAAGATAATGTATGAACAAGAGGCCACCATTTGCTTCATCAACAGACTCCCCCGTCAACAGGTTTACAAGACAACAATGGCATCCAGACATAGTAGGTGCTCGAGTCTAATTAGTTCATTGATGGAATGCATCCGATATGAGTTTTCTAGAAGAATACTTAGAATAGATCAGAATACTTACACATATACTAGATGTCCATCGGGTAGAACCATGAGAAAATTTGCTCATTGCCATCAAAATCTATACTGCTTCCCTCATTGCCATAAAAAATAATAGCTTTCCTTATCTACCATCAATTCGTGTTTTTTGTTTCCTCAACTGCCATTACCGTGAACAAGAGCCTCATTCTATTAGTAATCTATTAGACTGGATAGGGAAGACAGTTTTTGAAAGTGCATCTAGCCCTTTAGTGGGTTTTGGATGATTGAATGACAACACGATTAAAGATCTAATGTTTTCTCTAAGTGTGAAACAGAAAATTGGTTATCTCACAGATGCTTATTGAAAGTGTATAAGGCCAAAATGATATGTTGTTGTATAAGCAATCTAGTTCAAGCACAAGACAACAATGTAAATAGAATTCATGCAATGTCTTATTTATTGTGGGATATCAATGATTGATGATGGTGTTCTATGGAATTCATTGTATGATTCAACACAAGGTGTGACTTGATGGCTTGAGTTGGTGAAGATAGCGAGGAAAGGCTTCGAGGTACTAAGCAAAGGTGAAGGGCAAGCAATGGCTTGGCGGCCGAAGAACCCAGATAGGGTGAAGAAGGAAGTACATGCATTTAGTTGACGTACTAATCAAGCTATGAAGGTTATATTGATGTGGAGGATCAAATTTATGTTGGACAAGTTGATGGAAGTGACTTCATTCATTTGGAGTTATTCGTATTTGATGAATGGAATCAAGTCACATGCTCAAGATGGCTATGCTCAAGTGAAAAGATCAATATTGACATGTTGGCACCCTCACTTGATAAAGATTGAAAGACACGACATCGATTCAAAGGAGATCAACTCAAAAGGTTTAAATTTGTTCTTCATTTGATTTTGAGTTAATAGGAATGCCGTACTATTAAGAGGGATGCATCATATTGATGGATAATGTTTCATAAGTGCTCAAGACAACCCATGTGAGGTTTGAGTGAAAGATAGAAGAGAGAAACTAACTTGGTGTTCTATGGCCGAGCATACGTGTCCGGTATGGGCCAGGTCACAACAGTGACCTTGTTTCTCGGGTTGGGTTCGTCGAAAGTCCCGACATGTTTTAGCCTGGAGTTTCGGGGGTCAGAAGTCCCAACACCCAACTGACTTGGAGAGCTAACTGACCTGGTCACACCGGACGTGTCCGGTATAATAGGCCAGTGCCCAACGGCTTGTTTTTCAAAGGAGCCGGGGTCAGGAGTTCCGGCTGTATT